ATTAAGCAAATCCACATCCCCCCACTGACTTGTCAGCAGTGAGCTGGGAAGGTTGCAAATACTGATCACATGGCTCTAGGACTCGGCAACCTTTGTAAAAAAACATGCCAGTTTACACGTGTCCAAATTTTGATTATGTGATTGCTCATAAATATGCTGCAATGCTCATAAATATGAAGACCTGTTGTAAGTGACTTTTTTCAGTGTTGTTGTAACTTTGAACAGTCACTAAATGAATTATTGTAAGTCGAGGACTATCTGTAGGTAGCTCAGGGCTGGCACGCATAGTTGTAGAAGGTTCTCTAAGCTTGGTTTTCACTGGCAGACATTCCATTACCCATCCAAATAACCAGATAATGTCATATCATCATACAACAGCTGACCCTTGTAAAAAATTAATTGTTGCATTAAAATTTTAACTTTTCATTTCCCCAGTGCAATATGCATGGGCGGTTAGTTGGAAAGCAATTGCAATATTTGGTTAGATCAAGGCATTTTTTGGGGGGGGGAATTGGAAAAAATAGAACGGTAGGCTGACATATTTGTTAGAACACCTCAATTTGTTTAAAATAATTATTCCACGAGGCAAACAGGCCTGTTGTCCATCTCTAGCAGCTGTTAAGACAGGCAAAGGGAGAGGATGATCAAGCAGGGAGAAGAAGGAGCTCATTGTTTCTAAGCCATCTCAGCAGGCGAAATGGATGTTATCAACAACAGGACACTGATACAATCTGAGCTGGCAAATGCATGTCTTCCCTTAATTCTCTAGAGCAGCTGTTCCTGTTCAGCAAATGTGATGGTAAAAATATAAGCCATATGCTTTTGATGCAAACTACAACTCAACAGAACTTGCACGATGCTGTACTCTTATTTAAATATTGGTTTAGTAGTTAGTAGAAAGCTCTCCTACATTTTTCTTAGAAAGTCCTGGAATTCAGCCCTAATATACCCACACTGTCCTATTTTGGATGGTGATACTGGCATAAATATGATGCCATAAGCAGCAGCTCCTATATCTATAGCAAGCTTTCACCCACCTCACTGCCCCAGGAAGCAGTAAAGGAAGCAGTTAAGAATGGTTGCAAACCACTAAGAATCTTAACCAGGCCTTCTTATTCTGCTATGTTGGAAGAGCAAATGGGAGTAATTTCCAGTTTAGTTTATAAGCAGCACACAGATCAGAGCAAGTAGACATGCCATCAGCAGAGCTAGCAAAAATATAATTTTATGTTTATACAGTATATTGAATACCAACAAAGGTAAAAATTGTTATCTGGCAAAAAGGAGATCAAAGGGGAGCAAGAACAGAGAAGAGATGAACTCTAGGTCCTTGGTGCTCTCTGAGGTTGGTGATTTTATTGCAGATGTTTCATTACCAAACTAGATAACACCATAAGTGCACAGTGCACAGTTCAACCCTGAGCTACAAATATTATCTTCTAAGACATGAACTATGGCCAAGAATCTGCATTATTTATATTATTTTCAATATCAAAAAGCACAGAGCTTTCCACAGCCATGGAAACCATACTGTGGATTGTTAGCATGGACTGTCCCAGATGGAATGGCCTTTGGTTACTACAGCCTGAACTCTTTTATGCATACTGTATAACAGTAAGGTAGTCCTTGATTTGTTGTTGTTTGTTGTTTTTAACCACTTAGTCGTGTCTGACTCTTGGTGACTTTATAGGCAAGTGCTCTCCATGCTAGTCTGTCAAGCACACAGCTTCTTTCAATCGTTTTATGTTCAACTTTGCATCAGACTTGATGTTATCAAGCCAGTGTGTTCTTTTATTTGCCCCTTCTTCTTTGTCCATTCCTAGCATCATGGCCTTCTCCAATTAATTTACATGCATAACATGGCCAAAGTAAATCAGACGTATTTGGCCAAAGTAAATTGGATCTTAGCTTCCAGTGATATGTCTAGTTTTATACAACCACTCATTTAGTTACTGTTCGAAGTTACAACCAGTCCTCACCCAAATATCTCTTGCAGCATTCCCATAGTCAAAATTTGGGCATTTGACAAATGGCATGCACTGTCCTTGGTTTGTGTGATCATCATTTGTGAGCTTCTCAGCTGGTTTCCAACAAGCAAAATCAATGGGGAAGCCAATTTCATTTAACAAACGCACGAGTCACTTTACAATTGCAGTGATTGGCTTAACCACCATAGCAAAAAAAAAAAAAAATAGGTTGTAAAATCAAGTGTGACCCACTTATTTATTTATTTATTTATTTAATTTAATTTATATGCCGCCCTTCTCCCGACAGGGACTCAGGGCGGCGCACAACATATTTAAAACCAGAACATATATACAATCCCCCCCTTAAAACCGAATTAAACCGAATTTTAATGTTGCGTCTTCCGAATATTTAAAACCCAATGTAAAATCCACCCTAGGTCAGGTCCGC